GTTAAGTTTTTGGAGCAACAATGTGAGTTTTTGTATTGTTTCACTATAATTTTATTAATTTTCAACAAAGATAGAAACGATTTCTAATGCAGGTGAGATATAACATATGGTTGGCGACTATATGGTTCATTTTTCTCTTTAAGAATGATACAACTTTTTATGGTAGAAATGTCGAAAGATATTGGGTGGTTGACAAAAAAACTTTTGTCGTTACCACAACTTACATGAAAGTTTAAAATAATGAAAAACGAGTTTAACTTTCGATGTGATTTGATGTGAAAATTTTAATATATTATTTAATTTAAATTTTGATAATTGAACATTTAACTTTCAAATTAATTTGTAGGAAACGTTGACTTAACATGTCACCTGCACTGCTAATCTAGCTATACTATTTGTTACGCCAAGTGGAACACTAAACATTTCTTTTGTGACTATAAATCCACAATTACTTTTTCCTATGCATGAAGCTTCCACAACAGATTTACTATTTGTAGCTTCCCAAGAGCCTTTCTTAAAAGAACCACATTGACCTTGTGGACTTCCAAAGCTAGCAAACTGGATTTGTGAAATTACTTGTCCACTTTGGCATGATAGTTCTAGTTGTGCACCTTCATGTACATTAGCACAAATAATTCCCGTTGTCACAGTTTGGAACTGAACATTTTGAGGATTACCACCTATTTCTTCAAATAAAACCAATGTGTTCATGTCATCATTCAAGAATGACCTTGGTACATGGTACCACCTTTGCGATGGACTTCCACAATTGGTGTTGCACTTTTCCTTTACATATTTTCCACGATAATCGCACGTGTCACTGCATCCATTTGTAGATGTAACCCAAGAAGGCCAATAACGACCAATGCTATGTCCATTCACCCAAGCATGTCCTTTACCCAGGCCTTGGAAGTCCACCACAATAGGGTTTCTTCCAAAAGGAGCTTTAAACTCTGCCTTATACCAAGTCATAGGTTTTCCAATAGGAATATGGGGTGAATTAGTGTTCCATGATAAACCGACATGTGATTTCGAATCATATAAACGTTTCCTCTCACCATTCAAACCAACCTTATAAGACCAAAGGTTGGTTGACAAATCCATAGTAACGTTATTTTTTCCAATCAATTGAACAGGGCCACCTGATATGCCCGTTTTTATCTCGTCAAACCATGCACCATAATTTGCAAGCCCGACGGTGGCGCTAAGCAAAGTTATAACATTTGTTCCATTCTTAAAAGAAACGTTCTTTTCATAAGTGAATTTATTTCCCCATTGGCTAAATTGGTATCCTATATACTTCCTATTAACATAACCATGAAGTGTATGGCCCATAGTGTTCACACGGAGAGTTGAATTGCTCCAAATTGACGTGTCATTGATATCAACACTAGTCATGTACCATAAATAGTCACTAGCATCCAAGGTTAGTTCCTTTTGCTCCAAAAGCTGGTGTGCTTTAATATTTCCCTTTCCGTGCATGGTGTCTTTCTTTGGCTCCATTTTCCATTCCCAATTGAGTCCATTAGAACTATTATCACCACTCATTTTCACCATTATTGAGGTTTGACTGTTAACCTTTGCCGTATTGAAAATTTCTTTATTGCATCCATTAAGAATGGTGACGGACCAGGCAGGAACAAAGTATTTACCATCATTTTGTAAGTCAACATTTGCATCTTTAATAGTGTCATTATTGCTCAGGTAACAAAATCTTGCGCCAGTGGAATTAGCATATGTTGTAAGTGTGATCCCATTGCCCAGATCTGTGTTGTTTATTGATATATAATTTGTAAGAACATTTTCGCCCAATTTAATTGCTGCATGAAGTTGCTTAAGATGTCCCCATTTTGGTTGATTCAAATTCCCATACTCATCAATCGGTGCATCATAGTTATAAGATGTTGTCATATATGGTCCACCTGCTGTGCGGCCAAAGTTAGTTCCTCCATGGTACATGTAGTAATTGTTTAATACACCTCCATTTTGGAAAAAGCGTGCGACTGAGAAAGCTGAATCTTCAGCACTTCTATGGGGAACCCTTTCACCCCATTTTTGGAACCAACCAATCCAATTTTCAGTGAACATTTTAGGACTTTTTAGGTTATTGGGTTTAAAATTATGACAATAGTATCCATTGCTAGTATTTATGATGGGTTGAGGAGCATCAGGTTGCTGACACATGATCCATGGAACACCAATATTTTGTGCTAGGGCCATCTGAGCACACCATTTAACGTATGCCTTCCCTGCATCTTTGTAATTCCCCATGATATCACCATATTCGTTCTCAATTTGAGCTAGAAATAATGAATGAGACAAACGAGTATTGTACAAAAGAATACATACAACTAGTGAATAATAAAATTGGGTTCATCCCATGTATCTAAATTATCTTGAATTTGTTATTATGATAATTTATCTATAACGATGAATAGTTAATTCTAAAATATTGATTATAAGTAGTTCAAGATTAGGCGGTGGTTTATTTATGATAAAATAAAGACATATTAAGGATAAATGAGTTGGATATAAACACGTTAAGATTTAATTATGTCATGTATTTTATATGGACCTGAGATCAAAGTTAGATAACATAAAGTAAGATAAGAGTTTGATAGTACACGATTTTACCGAATCTAACCTTCCACACACAAATATAGTTGCTTTAAAATATCTTATAATTTTCATTTTACTTTTCACCAAAAAATCATAGTCATCTCACTAAATCAAAGTTTTATTTAAAAAATTTCACGATATAAATAAAATAGTTTAAATTTAAATTAAATGCAATTATTTATTTTCTAATTTTTTTTATCAATCTCTTAACATTAAACATGCAAAGTGATGTCAAATGTGTTATATATTTAAAATTAAACACCTAGTTTTATTATAGATTTTTGCGGGAGGTTTTGTTGATAAATATCACTATGCCAAAAGTGAGTTTTAACAGCGCACATTAGACAGCGCTTTTTTACAAAAGCGCTGCTATAAGTGAATTAAAAAAAATACGGAAACCGTATAAAATAATTAGTAAAAGTGCTGCTAAACATATGACCTTAGACGTCTCTTTTAAAAAGCGCTGCTAAAGGATTGCTTTAGAAAGCGCTTTATCATAAGTGCTGGTAAAGGGCCACTTTAGACAGTGCTTTAAGAAAGCGCTGTCTAAACTCATAAAAAATTAAAAAATATAATAGAAAAGCACTGCTAAAGGACACTATTAGCCAGCGATTTTCAAAAGCGTTGTCTAAGGTCCATATTAGCCAACGCTTTTAGAAAACGCTGTCTAAACCCTTATAAGTGAAAATTAAAAAAATAGAATCTTTGTATTCACAGTATCACGAAAACAAAAGCTTAAGCTAGAAACCCTTTCCCTTGCGAAACCCATTTCCTTCTCTGTCTCAAATCGTTCGCCATTGTACACCGTCCTCCACCGTCTCGCTCCGTTTTCCTCCACCCACACCGACTGATTCTCAAGGTATGTTCTTTATTGAAAATGTGTTTAACTCCATTGATGTCCAAATTGAGTTATCATCCTTGAAAATGTGTTAATATCCATTGATGTCCAAATGTCTTTATCTCCTATTGATGTCTAAACTGGGTTATATGTATGCATTTTAATTTTTAGATTCTTGCTAGGGCTTAATATATAACAGCAACATTTTTAGCATTTAGCATTATTGCATTTTCTTTTGGTTCTATGTTTTGGAATATAAAAGATGATATATATGATGGTTTTTTTTTTGTTATTTTAATTGGTTTCTGAATTGTTTATCATGTTTATATTTTCCCTAAACTAGTATTTTGTTACTAGTATTTTGAACCTAAATATATATACAACTTGTTTTTGATGATCTTTTTGTATTGGTGTAGTTAGGTGAAGACCATCACCGATTCGAAGAACATCAGAGCCGCATCATCCGTCGTCGACACCAATAGCCCCTTTTCTTTCTTTGGTAAGTCAAGTTCAAATTCTATCTGTATCGATCAATTAAAAAACACAATTATTTTTATATAGATATATTTATTTTTAGTCCATGTAATTAACTCTAGAAATAAATTTCTAGAAATAATTTGTTTAATTCAAACACAAAGAGAATAATCTGTTTATAGTGTTTTTGTTTACTTGAATAAGTAGAAAAAAATGGATAAAAAATGGATGTTTGCCGATCGATTGTCACAAGAGTATGAGAATGGGGTATTGGAATTCGTTAAGTTTGTTGTTGAACACGCCAAAGACCCCAGTCGAATGAAGTGTCCTTGCTTGTGTTGTTGCTATGTGGGTAGGGTTAACGCAGATGGATTGAAATTGCATTTACTAATGCATGGAATTGATAGAAGTTATACGTGTTAGATATTTCACGGTGAAAAAAGTAACGACAATGTTGAACCGGGGGATAAAAGTAGTACGGCCTATGCTTCATACGACAAGGACACATATATATATATATGATTTTGATCAAGTTGAAGAGATTGCAGATGCACTTGAAGAAGATCTTCAGGATTGTCCCAAAATGTTTGAGATATTGGTAAGCGATGCAGAGAAACCGTTGTATAAAGGGTGCACTAAATTCACAAGACTGTCTGCGGTATTAAAGTTGTACAACTTAAAGGCGGGCAATGGATGGTTAGATAAAAGTTTCACAGAGTTATTAGCCCTTATGAGAGATATGCTTCTGGAGGATAATGTTCTTCCTAATCGAACCTATGAGGCCAAAAAAATGTTGTGCTCTATTGGCATGAGCTATGATAAGATACATGCTTGTCCAAACGATTGCGTTTTGTTTCTAAACGAATATGCTTTGTTAAATGAGTGCCCTAAATGCGGTTTGTCTAAATATAAGAAAAAATTGTCTCCAACAAAAGTCTTATGGTATTTTCCTATAATTCTGAGATTTAGGTGAATGTTTCATAGTGAAACCGATGCAAGACACCTTACCTGGCATGCAGATGAAATAATTATTGATGAAAAGTATCGACATCCGGCAGATTCACCACAATGGTCGAAAATTGATAATGATTATCCTGATTTTGGAGAAGAAGCAAGAAACCTTCAGTTGGTTTATCTACTGATGGAATGAACCCGCATGGTCTTTAAAATATCTCACATACCACATGGCATGTGATTCTTATGACTTATAACCTACCTCAATGGCTATGTATGAAGCGTAAGTACATGATGTTATCTGTGTTAATATCTGAGCCTAAACAACCAGGGAATGACATAGACGTATACTTGACACCTTCGATCAAAGATTTAAAGATTTCGTGGGAGAACGGGGTGGAGGTTTATGATGGATATAGGAAACAAAGTTTCAATTTGAGGGTGATGTTGTTTGGCACAATTAATGATTTTCCAGCATACGGGAATCTATCTGGGTATAGCATTAAAGGTCAACGTGTGTGTCCTGTTTGTGAAGATGGAACCGATACGACGCGTTTGGAACTTTGTCAGAAGAATGTGTTTCTCGGTCATCGTAGATTCTTACATTCTAAACATCTCTACCGTGCATGGAGAAAAGCATTCAATGGAGACACCGAACAATGTAAAGCTCCACCTGCATTGTTAGGTGACCAAATTTTTGAAAAGGTGAAAGATGTGTGTACTCAGTTTGGTAAGCCTTTTGCGCATACGGTTGTCAAAGGTGGGTGGAAGAAGAGATCGATTTTTTTTGAATTGCCATATTGGAAGTCTCTATATGTGAGACATTTTCTCGATGTTATGCATATTGAAAAAAATGTATTTGAAAGTGTTATTGGTACGTTACTCAATATTAAAGGAAAGTCTAAGGATGGCCTTAAAGCAAGGGAGGGCATGTTAAAGATGGGAATACGAACTGAACTAGGACCTGTGAAGAAAGGAAGTCGAACATATCTATCACCTGCTGCTTTTACTCTATCTAGAAAGGAGAAAAAGATATTGTGTAAGTTTATAAGTGAAGTTAAAGTTCCAGAAGGATACTCTTCAGATATTAGAAGACTTGTGTCTATGAAAGACCTCGAGTTAAAGTGTTTAAAGACACATGATTTCCATGTTATAATGGAGAATTTTCTACCAATAGTTATACGTTCTATTTTGCCAGATAAAGTAAGGAGTGTGATAACTAAGTTATGTTTTTTCTTTAGGTCAATTTGTAGTAAGGTGATTGATCCTGAGATCTTACCAACATTGAAAAAAGAAATTGTTATTACTTTGTGTGAGCTTGAAATGTATTTTCCTCCCTTATTTTTTGACATAATGGTACATCTAGTTGTTCATCTTGTGAAAGAGACACAGTTGTGAGGCCCAGCTTATATGAGATGGATGTACCCTGCTGAACGTTATATGAAAGTATTAAAAGGTTACGTGAAAAACCGAAGTCGCCCAGAGGGCTGTGAAACAACCGGCTGAAAATCATCAAATAATGAAGTCGCCATCGAACGTCTTTTATCCCACAGGTAGGGAAAGGTAAACATCGAGTAAACCTGAGAATGGTGAAATCAAGGTCGAACGACCAAGAGATAAGGGTAAGGGATTCTGTTACGTGAGGGGAAGGTATTAGCACCCCACACGCCCGTAGTACTCTACAGTATCCACTCTTCTTATCTATCTTATGCGTGTGTTTAATCTATGCTTACTGTTTATTATTGCTATGGGAGTAATGCATGCAAAAGAAATGAGAAAAGAATGTAGGGAAAAGAAAAGTTGTGCTCGTTCCGGCCCTACCCCGATGCCTACGTATCCCTTTTAAGGAATCAGAGCAGCCGTAGTTCGGCTCACATGTTTTTGTTGGTTTGTATTTTTTTAATGAATAATATTAATTTCTCCTTTTGCCGCAACTCGACCTTTGGAGACTTACGCGTCAGCACAAAAGTGAATTAACATTCTCTCTTGAAAAAGTCTTGGAGGAAATGTTCTTGGGCGCACAAAAAGGTTTGAATTGTTTGTGTTTTTAATGAATAATATTAATTTTGCCTACTGCAGCAACTCGACCTTTGGAGACTTACGCGCCAGCACAGAAGTGAATTAGCAGGTTCTTTTCAAAAGGGTTTGAAAGAAACGGCCAAAGGAAAAAAGAGTTTGTATTGGTTGGTATTTTTTGCTCGTAGATAACAACTAGTTGACCTTAAGGGAGAGATTTTAGCCATTTCTCTACTTATTCATGAAATGAGTATTTGAGACTTGAACCATGCCAAAGCTTATAATAATATAACAATAAGGTCGAGAAGAAACCCGCTTATCATCTCTCATGCTTGACAAAGGTATGATTCTCATCAGTAAATTTTTTAAGTATTTTGAAGTTTGTAAGAAAAAGAAGTTTTAGTTTTAGTGCAAATGCAAAAATGTGGAAAGAAAGGTCAAAGGGGAGACTAGCCTATTTCTAAACCTAATGTTATCGTACAAAGGTGGTCCTAGAATGCAATAAAATGTGAAAATGAGGAATAAAACGAGATTGCGATGATACCGAACGGGGAAGGTCCGTCGCCTCTTCAAAAACACACCAGCAATAAGAAAGCTCTACAGAAGCTGCTCCGCACGAGTAATCAAAGAATCAGTCTCCAAGTATTCCATATTGCGAAAGTTACATCAATATAATATCACAAGATTTTTACTAAAAAAAATGATAATGAAAATGATTGTTAAACATAAAATAATTGAAAGTTCTAATAAAATTCTAAAGCAAAGTCCTAAAGAATTCTAAAAATATGCTACTATTTTTGTATATCATTTTTATCATGTAAAAAAAAGTTCAAAAAAATTTAAAATCATTTAAAATAAACTAAAAAGAAAAAAGAAAAAAAAAGAGGCCCAAGAGGGTGCAAGTGGAATCCAGGAGGTGTGCTAAAGTAGTCTAGGCGCTGCAGCAAATCTGGGCGCAGAGGGCCCATCAGGTTGAGTCCAGTAGCCAGTTTTTTGTTCACAAACCTTTCATAATCCAAAATCTTACCAACAAAATTTACGATGGGCTTGAGAATAATTGAGCCCGGTCCAACCTTTGATTCAATTTATTCCATTCAGTTTTATTGTTGTGTTTAAAAGAATAAAATAAAAATCAATTAACACAAATAAAATAAAATTAAAAAGCGTGTGAATTGAAAGAGGATTAGGGTTAGAAAATTAGGACGACTGAGCTTCTTCTCCCTTCTTCTTCGCGGCGCCGTGAATATACTTCCTTCGTCCTTCTCGAGTGCAAATTCCGGCGAGTTAATACCGCCGACATCGCCTGTTCAACTCACCACCTTCTTCACGTAGACCTAGGCTTCATTTGGGTTTCGATCCATCCATCCCAATTTGTTCGATCTGCTCGTCAATTCTCAATCATCTCTCTCAAACTCAAACGGTGCGCTCAACTTTAGATACCCTCCATCGTTCAGCTCTTGCAGCGCCATCGTAATCACCAAATATCACCACGGTCCGCTTCATCTCATCCCCCTCCGGGCTCTCTCCGTCGATCCCCATTAGTTCATCTCCACCTCTTTGACTAACTCCGTTTTGATTGTTCTTCGCTCGCGGCCATGATTCACAATTCAAACAGAAAAGATGATGATGATTCGTGAAGGTTTTGATTGAGCCGTAGCAAACTACACTCTATGCCATGATTTGGAGTAGAAAGCAAAAGAAGATGCGTAAAACAGTAATTAATTCGTCACTTACCTACCAGAGACGCTCCGATAACTTCTTCAATTGAAGAAGATGAGAAAACTAGAGAACACTCGATGTTCAGGTATGCTCATTTTACTCTATCATTTTCAATCGATTTCGTTGTCTTCTTTCTCAGATTCCTTCTTCTGTTTGTGTTTCTTCTTCTTCTTCTTTTGTCTTCTGTTTCCGCTAATTCATGCTGGTTTTTCTGGTGCGAACACGTTTTTGATGTTGTTGCATGGATTATGTGGATTTGGTGATATGGTGATACGTGAAGAGAATGATCCACTGAGAAATAAACTCAGTGACGGAGGCTTGCGAAAGCGTGCGTCGATGTTGTGTTGATGTTGCAATGGTGCGTTGATGATTATAGAAGAGAAGTCGTAGCAGTATCGATGAATCACTGCAGAACAAGAGGATCAGATACAGAGCAGTGTTGCAGAATTTATGGAAAATTGGAGTGAGATTGATGGAGGTCGCAAAGAGGGCTTAGAGGTTGTGATTGAGAAAGATGAAGATTTGTCAAAGATTATACAGAGAGAGCCTTTTTTTCCAATCAAGGTTGACGAAGGAGGTGGATAAAGGTTGATGAAGGTGAAGAAGAAAGGGAGAGCAAGAAGATAGAGATTTCAGAGTTTTTTTTCCTGTTGGTGAGTTTTTCTCTCTCTCTCTCTCTCTTCTTTTATTTCCTTTTATCGATACGTATTGAAGTAAAAAATGAATATGATGATAATATTGTTGAAGGTTCTCTCTTCCCCTTTTCTGTTTTTTTTGTTTGTTAATGTTGTACCCTCTCGTGGAGAATCGGTTCTGCAGTTTGAGCAGAGAGAAAGGAGCTTCAGATTCTTTTGAAGTTTTTTTGGTTGTGAGTTCTTCTATGAATTTGAGAAGAACAATGAAGATGGAAATGATGCAGAGAAGAGGGAGAAAGATTTTTTTCAGTATATGTGTTGGTGATTCTTCTGCTATATTCAAGAATGAAGATGAAAATGAGAGAAGAAGAAAGACTTTTTCGGAGAGTTTCTGTGTGATTCTTCTGCAGAAGTGAAGAATGAATAATGAAAGAGGTAAATTCTGTTTTTTATAGTCTGTTAGTATTGCAAATGTTAGTTAGGATTAAATTGATCTGAACCCTTGGTTTTGAAAGGTTCAGTTAGTGAATGAATGGTATCGATTAGGCGGTTAGAGAGGTCTAGGAATCTGTTATAAAAATGAGAAAGTTAGTTTTCTGTTATGGTTAAAACAGTTGGGGATTTGTTATGAGAATTCTGTTCAGGTGGCTGGATTATGTTAGAGGGTTGTTAGGAGATAGTTAGAGGGAATTTACAAATTGGATTCTGTTATGAAAAGCTGTTATGAATTCTGTTAGTTGTTAGAAAATCAATTAGTGACCTATTTGTTAGTTTCTAGTAGCAGTTAGAAATTGTTAGTTAGTTGTTAGCTTTTAATAAAATTTTGTTTTGATTTCTTAGGCCAGTTGGTTATAGAAGTTTAGTTGGTTGTTTATTTGTTGAAATTCTGTTATGAAATCAGTTTCTAAAAATCTGTTGCTTTCTTGTTTATGCTGAATGAATGATCCTGTTATATTTCTTATTACATCCTGTTATCCTCCTCTTTTTCTGTTGAGAAGCAGTAGGCCAATAATTTTGACTTTCTTCTATTTTAGAACTTATAAATGAAAAAAATTGAGTATTGATATCTGACCATCTTCAGCACAAACGTTATTCCCTAATATTTCTTTTGTTGACTGACTTTTGAAGCCTGCATATGCCTTCTCAGTCTAGCACTTACCGTTTCAAAAGCAGAAATGCAATGCATCCAACTCAACTTCCTTGGAGTGATCAAGTTCAAACTCGAACTGCCGCTCGTCCTTAGACAGTGGTCTTTTTAATTTTCTGAATGAGTTGACTATTTTTTCTGTGATTTTTCTATTATGGATTTGGTTCTGACTTTTAAAATGCTACAGATTCAGATATGAGGCAAGGTAAATTGGTCTTGACCGTATATTTGTGACTACTAGGGTAGCAGCAGGGTATAATCATCGAAGGCTGAAGACAAGCCAACCTTGATTAATTCCAGACTGGGTCATAATTCAAGAGGCTGATGGTTATAGCATTACAGGTTTAGAGGATTAGGCTTATGACTATGTTTTCTCTGTAAAGTATTATGAATGATTTGTAATATATTTAGAAAATTGAGTGTTCTTGAAAGGGTTTGGATGAATATTGTCTTGAAGTGTAAGTTTTGGACTTGTAATGGTGATTGGATATGATGTGTATTTTGGATGAGCCAAATTGGTAGCTTTCTTTGTAACTTTATAATGGCATGAGTTTTGTAATGGAATAAAATTGAAATGGAATTGATTGGATAGAATTTGTACGAAGTTTGAATACCATTGAATGAACTATTTTGAAAACTTCCATGTGGATGAACCTTGTATTGGGAAAAATAGTGATATATGGATCTTGAGTCATGAAAGAAACATGCCTTGAACACTTGAATTCGCACTTGGACTTATGAAATAAGGTTGAACAATGATGAATGATACTTGAATGTTCATCATGAGATAAGCCTCAACTTTCCTCTTTCGTAATTAAAAATTTTCTGCCATTGTCCCTTTTCCTTTTTCCATACCATTCTTCAAATGCAACTTGAATGCCTAACACATATTAGATGAAAGTCAAGGGAGACCTTGGTCTAAAAGTTAATTTTTCAAAGCTTACTTTAACCGAAGTCAACAGATCTTATCTATGTATCTTGAACTTGAAATAGCCTTGAATAATTCTTGAATGCCCTTGTACATGCATGAACTTGATATTTGCTCTAAATTCCAAATAAGTTGTTTCTCAAGAAGTCCACATGAATCTTTTTCTAACCTTGCATGCTTGGTAAATGAACTTTAATCCAATTCTTGAACAAAACTTGAATTCACATGATATTTGAAATAATCTAAAGCAAACTCCGTGATCAGAATTCCACTTTTTTTGAATGAACCCTAAAGCAAATGACTTATATCATAAGCCATGAAGAGAACCCAATCTTCAATTGATGACCATGAACAAAATGGTCCCTAACATCACCCTCTGTCCTTCGTGAGAGAATGGATCCAACACGTTGATCCCCATCAATCTTGTATAACAAACAATAAGGGAACCAAACTTCCTTGATCTTAATGAATTTACAATGCCATCCTTATATCACGCCTTATCATCCCATGAACCTCCATTGAAGATGTTGATAAACCCAAGTACAATAGGATATAAATCCTAATCTTCCATACAAAGCTGTTAGATTTTGATCTCAAAGCATTGAAATGAAATCCGAAGAAAATATATTATATCGCAAGTAAGCCAATCGACTAGATGAAGAGCTTTGCACTATAAGGCATACAAACCCTAATTCGTGAAGAAGGTCCAACTGAATCTTCTTCTCTAGAATAGAACTGTTTCCCGCATAACTAGAGATTAAAGCAACTCTTTCCTTCTTATTCGCCAAAGATATATCAATTGAAACCCTGATTGTTCATGGACGATATCCCTTGATTATATCCTTGCCTGATAATGACAACTTCCCAGAGAAACCTCTCTTGAATGGTACATGATTTAGAGAAATAAACCCTAATCAAAGGATGACGTTGAGCACAAGGAGATGATGAACGCCTGATTTGGTAGTCCTTAGGTGACCTCGTAGAACAACTTGGAAATGAACATGGGGATACAGAAAAAAATATGACCTTGATGTCCATGACTTAGAAAACCTAATGAACCTCGGTTGATGAAATGCTGACAAGCACAAACTTGGTGGAGAAACACTCGGACTCTTGTCTTGAATGTATCTGAATGGATAATAACCCCCTTAACTTGAAGAGGACGGAACCCTTAATAAGCATAGTTGCAACCCTAATTCCACATTTCACTGCTTGAAGGATAATCAGAAGAATCATGCTTTATTGGATACAAACGCCTCAATCATTATGAAACCCTAATATCGCACAACCACTGAACTTTGAACCTTAAGCACTTTATTGAATGAAAATGTATGTTAATGACCTAATGGAATATATACAGATGAATGCAAGAATCTAAGCCAGCATAAGAGAAATTTAGGAGGGAAAATTTTGGGGTGCAACAGCTGCCCTTATTTAATCGCCTTCAACCTGAAGGTGAGATTGGCGCCAACCTTTCGAACTTTCAAGGTAGAAGAAGATTAAATACTAAAAGAACCCCAAAATTTGCACTCCGAAGCCAGTCAGGTATACATTATATTTTTGGTTTTACTGTATTTTCTATTTTTTTTCTTCTTTTTTTTAGGTAAGAGGTGTTATCAGGGTTAGATGTATGTTTATCCAGAGTGTGACACACAGAAGAATAACTTGGTTATCGAGGAACACTTGTTAGGATTAGTAACAAACACCTGTAAGAAGGATATCAAAAGGTATATGCCTGAAGCCTGTAGAAGACATACGAAAAAAAGGTATCAGAGATACATATCCGGGGTCGGTAGCGGATACGCACGAAAGAGACATAAAAGATGCATATCCGGGGTTGGTAGAGGATACGCACAAAAGAGACATCAGAGATATCAAGAACACATGTCTGGGGTTGGTAGCAGACATATGGAAAAGGCATCAAAAATACATATCTGTGGTCGGTATCTGATACGTAAGAAAGAGACAGAAAAGATACATATCCAGGGTCGGTATCGGATACGCACAAAAGAGACATCAGAGATATCAAGAACACATTTCTGGGGTTGGTAGCAGACATATGAAACAACTATCAAAAATACATATCCCTGGTTGGTATCGATTACGTAAGAAAGAGACAGACAGAAGAAAGCTCTTACAAAGATATCAAGAATACATGTCTAGGATTGGTAGCAGACATATGAAACAAGTATTAAAAATACATATCCATGGTCGGTATCAGATACGTAAGAAAGAGACAGACCGAAGAAATCTCTTACAAAGATATCAAGAACACATGTCTGGATTGGTAGTAGACATATGAAACAGGTATCAAAAATACATATCCGTGGTCGGTATCAGATACGCAAGAAAGAGACAGACCGAAGAAAGCTCTTACAAAGATATCAAGAACACATGTCTGGGATTGGTAGCAGACATATGAAACATGTATCAAAAACACATATCCATGGTCGGTATCGGATACGCAAGAAAGAGACAGACCGAAGAAAGCTCTTACAAAGATATAAAGAACACATGTCTGAGATTGGTAGCAGACATATGAAATAGGTATCAAAAATACATATCTGTGGTCGGTATCGGATACGCAAGAAAGAGACAGACCGAAGAAAGCTCTTACAAAGATATCAAGAACACGTGTCTGGGATTGGTAGCAGACATATGAAACAGGTATCAAATATACATATCTGTGGTCGGTATGAGATACGCACGAAAGAGACAGGCCGAAGAAAGCTCTTACAAAGATATCAAGAACACATGTCTGGGATTGGTAGCAGACATATGAAACAAGTATCAAAAATACATATTCGTGGTCGGTATCGAATACATAAGAAATAGACAGACCGAAGAAAGATCTTACAAAGATATCAAGAACACATGCCTGGGATTGGTAGCAGACATATGAAACGAGTATCAGAAATACATATCCGTGGTCGGTATCAGATACGTAAGAAAGACACATACCGAAGAAAGCTCTTACAAAGATATCAAGAACACATGTCTGGGATTGGTAGCAGACATATGAAACAGGTATCAAAAATACATATCCGCGGTCGGTATCGGATACGCAAGAAAGAGACAGACCGAAGAAAGCTCTTACAAAGATATCAGGAACACATGTCTGGGATTGGTAGCAGACATATGAAACATGTATCAAAAATACATATCCGTGGTCGGTATCGGATACGCACGAAAGAGACAGACCAAAGAAAGCTCTTACAAAGATATCAAGAACACGTGTCTGGGATTGGTAGCAGACATATGAAACAAGTATCAAAAATATATATCCGTGGTCGGTATCAGATACGTAAGAAAGAGACAGACCGAAGAAAGCTCTTACAAAGATATCAAGAACACATGTCTGGGATTGGTAGCAGACATATGAAACGAGTATCAGAAATACATATTCGTGGTCGGTATCGGATACGTAAGAAAGAGACAGATCGAAGAAAGCTCTTACAAAGATATTAAGAACACATGTCTGAGATTGGTAGCAGACATATGAAACAAGTATCAGAAACACATATTCGTGGTTGGTATCAGATACGTAAATAAGGAAAGAGGCCGGAGGAAAGGACTCTAACCAAGGATATCAGGAATATACGTCCATAGGAAAGGGCGTATAACCAAGGATATCAAGAAACATATGTCCGGAGGAAAGGACATATAACCAAAAAATATTGGGAAAATATGTCCGGAGGAAAGGACATATATAGCCAAAGGCTTGCAATGGTAAAAGAGAATCACGACTTACTGAGACAATGGGAAACACCAACGAATCGACTGGTGGTAGATCAAACAACCTTAGCTGGGGAAACAAAATAGAATCATCCTAGGCTTCTTGTGGAGATAGTTCGAATATGAATTCATAACAATCTAGTTACAGCAAGTAAACATAATTGGCTTATACTCATGCATGTTTGAAATAAAAATTTATAGCGTAATGCTCCATACAATGGGAATGCTATGCGTTTTAGTAGATGCAATGTAATGATGCATTTTTAGTAATGCACTAGGAAAACACATCAATAATCATATGTTGAGAAGACAAAGAACTTCTGAATGATTATTCTTGCACATCTGATATTCTGTAGAGAAAAGGCGATTTGTACTTCAATGGGGAACCGAGATTTGGAACCACCAACCTCTCAAGATCGATATCACATGGGAAGTAACTTACTGGGAAGAATACTGCAAACATAAATTGCGGTTCAAAGAAATTCTTGAATTCTGACCAAACTCCCCACTTCACGGGGAACAAATTCTTTATCCTCTATTGGAAAGAGGAAAACTTTACTGGGAATGGAAACTTCTGGCATGGAAATTCTTGACGAAGATAACTTCTGTTGGGGAGTATAGAAATTCTTAAATAAAAAGAATTCTACTCAGACCATACTGGGGATAACATTGCTGGGAGGTAAAAGATCCTCACTTGGGGAAGAAACAAACATCCCAGGATAGAAACTCCACTAGGGATATCTCAGCAACATCTTCTACCACCGGTAACGAAAGAGTTATGACTGGAATTCTCCTATACACCTCACTTGAGAGATAGGACACTTTATCCACTAGGGAAAGAAGAATAGTTCCATTGGGGAAATTGGATCTCATTATACGAAAATCCTCACGTTAGTCACACCCAAACCCTTCTTGATTCATTTGTTGGTATGCTTCTTGTCATAAAAGAACAACAATACTTTGCAAAACAGAAGTTAGGGCAACATGCGTCTGTTTAGAATGGAAAACCTTACTGAAGAATACACAATTTGAACTATCAATCAACGGGTAAAAA